AGCCTTTACTTAAATATGGACCTCATGATTCTCACTTTGCTTTGGCTATTATTTTTAATTTGTAAGAGACAATTGTCTATCTCAATCCATTCATAGCCCCCCCCCCCCCCCCCTCCAATGGGCCCCTTTTACCTTCATTAGAAATTTTAATCTCTCTTTTTTTTTTAATCTTTTTATGGACCCCTTTACCATCTTTAAATGTGTCGATTAATTTATTGTCTTAATTTATTAAATGTGTTCCCATAACTTTTTGTAAGTCTAGTTCATCTCTCTGAGTTGTAGAGGTTTTTTTTTTTTTGGGGGGGTAGATTTGGTTATTTGCTTTAAGTAAGTTACTTTGATGATCATGGTTTCTTGTTTTGAGCTTTATTGAAAATATATATGTTTTCGGGTTAATAAAACTATTTGTTTTTGAAGAACAAAAATGTTGATTTAAGCCAATAATTATTTTTTTTCTCCATTTTTAGCACACGCGGGACATTAATAATAAAAAAAGATCATAGCCCACCATATGAAGGTTTCTACTCGATAATCTTGTGGAATTTGAGGTATTCTAATTTTGTCATTCAATCAATTGTTCTAAGCATCTTCGAGCTGTAGAGAACTTATTATAATCACCTCATGGTACTGTTTCAGAATAACATATGACTTGCATGATATAAGTGCATCCCATAAAATGGAGAAAATCGATGATTTGCATGCTCAACTGGTAAGAAATTACCACAGACCATGGGCAGGAGAAGTGAAGGATACTCTCTCTCTCTCTCTCTGACGCAAGCATGACATAAACATGCAAATGTGGTTGAAGCTTGAAAGTTACAATGCCTATGAACAAAAAACTAAATTGGGCCTATTAGAATGCATGGTATGGAGTATGATGTCATGACAGTCGATAACTACGTACTCTTGATGATCATCTCGAAGTATACTGTAGACATAACTTGGATCATTGGCACTGATCTTCATTGTTAACAAAATTAAAACTTGTTTCGATTAAATCCACAACAAAGTGACAATTTCTTAGTTCTAAAAAGATCAGAACTCACAAAAAAATGCGGAAAAGATACATGACGTTCTCGTGATTGAAGGCATAATTCCCTTGAAATGTGTCTAAATTTGAAGCATCATGCTAGCTAGACAGATATTGATCGCTAATGATATATAGAAGAATGATTTAAATAGAATAATGTTGTTCTAGTAGATGATTATAATTTGAGTGTTGAAAATTGAATGGGAATAATTGACCTTTGTTGGCCTCCCAAAGTCTTGTCCTCCAGCTCATTGAAAAGACCAGGCTTAATTGAAAGAAGACAAAAAAAGGAATTTGGAACGAAGTAAAGACTGGTTTTGTCTTCATGAAACAATTCCTCTTTGTTTTGGAAGAATGAATTAATACGATGATGAGGTGGGTGAGTGGGTTTTGGGATTTATCATTGTTGGATTGACTAGCTAGGTAATTTAGCTTAAGCCTAAGACAGTTTTGGAAGCAACATCTCTTCATCAACAGATTCAATTTAGTTTGTTGGGAACATGTACATGGGGTTGTTAGTCTTTGGAAAGATATGCATGGTAGCTAAAGAAACCAAGCTAATGGAAAAAAAGGTCAACTAGCCGAGATCATAGGCATAAAAGACTCAAAAGAAAAACGAACATGTAAGTGATCAGAAAGAGAGTAAACAGCTTCAATCTGAAACCTAAAGATATAGAGGGGTTTTAAGATATGCATTTGAAAGATCACTCCCAACATGATATAAAAGATGGATCTTAGATGGTTAATGAGTCAAGTCTTTCATCTATTTGAATTCTCTCGTATATTTGTCTATTTATTTTGTTTAGTTGGTGGGTTAAGTTCCTCATTCATCAAAAATCTTCTTTTTAATTGCTAGGTTTACTTTGATTTTGGCTTGTTAGTCTATTTACGAATCCATTTGCATGCAAAGGAGAGTGTCGAGAGAAATTGTATTCCACATCCAAAGTTCATTATACCCCAGATTGATTTATATACTCTATTCATGATCAAGTAGAGAGAGAGAGAATTCAGTTCAGCAGAATGGGGGCCCAAAAAAAAAAAAGATTGGGTGACATATTGGACTAACTAACAAAACTGTGCAATCAAGAGCCCATGATTATATAGAGTTGGTGATTTATAATAAGAAGTAACATAACTTGGTTGGGTAGATTGTATTATATATATGAAAGGATGTTTTGGCGGTAAAATAGACATGATAGATAGATATGCTGCCGGAGCAAACAGTTATGTCCGTCCCTAATTTTCCGATCACCGTCTTAAACATTAACTGTTGCTGCTTTGTTGTATATCCAACTTTTTTTATATATAAAATTTACTATGTATCTATTTAAACTTCAGCAACCTCTCTTGAAAAAATAGCTAAAAAGACCCATGGTCCTGACGATGAAGGGGTGTGCATGGGGATTTTAATGGGCTGGGTTTAGGATCCAAGGGGATCGAAGCGAGGGGTGGGGCCTCTTGGGTTTAGAAAGTGAGGGTTTCGAGGTTAGGAATTTTGATTTTCAACATGAGATGCACGTAAGTTTTATCGTTTAACAAAAAAAATAGAAGGGATTTTGACATTGGTTTCTGGTGCTGGCCAAGGTGGAGGAATGTCCACCAACTCCTCTCCCTCTCACAAATTTGTATTGTCATTTTGTTCAAAATTTACTAAAATATTATTTTTGACCAAGACTAAACAAATCCTTCTATAATAAAAATCTCTAATAAGGGTGGCTTTAGTGTTTTATAAGTATACTAGTTATTGTCAGTGGTTAAAGGCGAATAATAAAAAATGATATACAATAAATATATTTGTATTCATATTCAAAATCAAATCATAAACATAGAGAAGAGATAAAAGAATTTAAACATCGATGTGTAATGTGGATGAGAGGTGGTGGGCGGTAGTAGTGGTGGTAGAAGACGGTGATGGTTGTGGTGGGTGGCGACGGTGGAGGTGGTAGAGGTAGTGATGAAACGGTTTCAAATACTATTTTTTAAAAAATATTTATGAGAAATAATTTTTAAAAGTACCTTTTAAAAAGTCATTCCAACACATTCGTAGAAACCTATTTTTCATATTAAATTTTGGGTGTTAATATTAATCGCTAGATTAATTTTAATTTAAAATTTAAAACAATTTCAACCGCGAATAGCAAAAGTTATTTTGTTTATCTTTTGAGATTTGAATTATAAACTACTTTATTATATAGATTAAATGGTCATCATATCATTTTGACAAAATTCAAGTGATTTGAGAGTGATTGATCCTAATTTTGTTTTAATTTTTTTTTTTAAGTAAAGTTACACCGACTAAAAAATAGAGCTCAAATAATATGACAATTAACATGATAAATAAATCTAGAATATTAAATGAATAAAAGTATGACTAAAAACTTATTATTATAGTACCACATCATTTTGAGCTTTATTTTTTGTTCCTTTTTTTATCAACTTAGCATTACTCATTTTTTTTTTAATCGTCAAATATAATAGATATATATATATATATATCAAACATTATTAAATATGCATACAAATGTACAATGAACCCATTTTGTCAACTAGATAAAGCCGGCCTCGTTTTAGGATATTCCAATACATTTAAGTCTAAGCTTTTCTATCACATTCAATCATTGGAGGCGGCTTGGAGCAAGTTTTTTTATTTTATTTTTGAATTGGAGCAAGTTTATCTACCAAAAATACTGAATTTAGTTTGTTGTGTTTCATAAAATTATTTTATTAATTTTAAACTTGCATTTTTAGTAATTTGTTATGTTTAGCCAAAAAAAAAATAACAGAATTACAACCAATCCATTCATTTTTAAGTTAAAAAAATGATTATTCTAATACTTTTTATGCATTTTCTTTATAAATTCTTTTAGCGAGAAATAAGGATAAATATAAAACCCAGGAACTTGCAAACATACCTTTCATTTCTGAATTTATAATAAATATAGCATTTTGATCAAACAAGAATTCCTTCCTTTGAAAATGAAGGAATGGTACCTAGAAAAAAGCATAATTATCGTATCGAATCGAATACTAGAACTATAGAAGGGTGCCAGTTCGAATCCCTACCCCATGTAGCAGTCCGACCAAAACATAAAAGAATCGAATGGAATACTAATGAGGTCAAAGTGTGTCAATCTTCTACAAGGAAAACATAATATATTAATAAGTCTACCCGTGGAAGCAAATTTTCTAAGACAAAATCCAATGCCATCGGATCGGTTTCGCTATCCAATAGAAGGGGGTCCACCTTGAGATCATCTTAATAAAATATATTAGATTAGTCTAAAACGTGGGGGTACGAGGTGGACAATGGAAAACATTAATTAATATTATTCTTAATTAAGTTCATAAAACTCACTTATCTTACGATGGTGATAATGAAGTGAAATTACCTAGTAAATAAATTTAATATAAAATAAATATTTATAAAACTCACTTATCTTATGATTATTATTATTATACAAAATTATATAGTAAACAATTTTAATATAAAATTGAATTGAATAATTGATATAACATTAAAATTAGTGATTTAGTTTAGTGATATTTTCATATCATGTAGTAGTGCAAAATAAATAATTAATTTGAAACAAAAATATGAATTATTAGAATTATTGATGCCTAGTCAAAAAAAATACTGAATTGAATAATGCTACAATAATGAGGCAAATTTTGGAAAATTTTCAGCCATTTATGACACGAATTATAGTGCTGTCCATTCAATATGTAGATTAAAAGAAATTAGAGAGATTAATATGAAAAAATTAATAATAAATAAATAAAATTTACTCTGATTCACAGAATGCCATGGCGTAATTATGAAAAGATATGATGGTCATTTTGGGAATACAAGAAAGAAAAGTTCCAAATCAGCGTCCAACACAAGGAAGAAGAAACGGTCTCGTCCCTGATAAGCTATTGACCATCCATTAACGACATATATAACTTCCACACCGACTCTTTCTCTCACTCCTCTCCTTTTCTCTCACTTCTTCTCTTTCCTCTTCCTCCCCCAATCTCTCTAATACTTTCTCCCTCTGCAACATCAACCTGAATAACCAATCATGCGGGCAACGGACAACCAAGGTTCGTTCCTGAACCGAATCAGCATTCGCCGGAATCAGGTTGTCTCCATGGACGGCAACCACGAGCAAGAGCTTGACGACCTCGAACTCTTCCAAAAACACGTCTCCGATCGCTTTTCCGATCTCCTACCCCCTTCCGCAACCGCCGATCCTTCTCCGGACTCTCCCAGACCCGATACCCTCCTCTCCATTTCCTGGTTCCGCAAACTCCTTGACGCATTCCTCTGCTGCGAGGCCGAGTTCAAGGCCGTCCTCATCATGGGTCGCGACCCATCTCAATTTTCCAAACCCCCTCTCGATCGTCTCATCCATGAACTCCTCGACCGGACCGTCAAGGCCCTCGATATCTGCAATGCAATCACTGACGGCCTCGATCTCGTCCGTCAGTGGCAAAAGCTGGCTCAAATAGCCGTAACTGCGTTTGAGCAACAACCCATCGCAGAAGGCCATGTCCGACGCGCCAAAAAAGCCTTGAACACGTTACTAACGTCCATGAATTTGGACGATAAAGAGAGCGCCTATGGTAAGTCGACGGAGAGGACGTGGTCGTTTGGGCGGCGAGGTGGTGGCTCCTCCGTGAATGCAAAGGACCGTACCGCCGGAACCTTCCGCCCTTTGTCGTGGACAGTGGCGAAATCTTGGTCGTCTGCTAAACAGATTCAAGCCATGTCTTCCAATCTGGTGGCTCCACGTGGAGGCGAGCCGACCGGGTTGGCTTTGCCGGTTTATATTATGAACACGGCGTTGGTGTTTGTGATGTGGGCTTTGGTGGCGGCGATACCTTGTCAAGAACGGACTGGGCTGGCCACTCATTTTCCGGTGCCAAGACAATTAGGGTGGGCCCAAGCGATTATTGGGTTACAGGAGAAGATAGGAGAGGAGTGGAAGAAGAAGGAGAAGAAAGGGACAGCCGGGTTGTTGGAGGAGATGCAGAGGATGGAGAAGGTGGCCCAGTGGCTGGTGGATTTTGCGGAGGCATTTCAGTATCCGATAGAGGAGGAGAAGGTGGACGAGGTGGCAGTGCAGGTGGCCGAATTGGCGGAGATTTGTCGTAAGATGGAGGAAGGTTTGGTGCCACTCCAACAACAGGTTAGGGAGGTGTTTCATAGGATTGTGAGGAGCAGGGCTGAGGTTCTCGATGTAATTGACCAAGTTGGTAAGTCATCAGCACCGGTTCCGTATTGAGACCTGAGAGAGGCATAAGAATCGAAATTCCATATATAGCTCCGCCCGACCAACTACCACTGGTCTTTGGCCGGAGGGGTTTATTACACAAAAACACAAGGACGCAGGCTCCTAAAGAGGGAAGTCCAACCGATGTCAGATGCAAAAAAAAAAAAAAAAAAATTCTGTACATTTTGAGTCTTGTAGATCAACGGGTCTGAATTTTTTGTTTATTTTTTGGTTACTATTATCAAATTTTTCTCCCAATTTTTGAGAGCAGATTCAATTCTCTGAGAAGTAATGATTTTTGCTGCCTCGGAATTTGTGAGGAAAATGTTATGGTCTCAGGTGAAATGTATCTCTGGGTATGTCTAGAACAACACCTTGTTGGCCTTTTTATCGGGTATAGCTTAGGCTGTCTCTGAGAAGCATTTGATCAATGGTTTTTCCTTATCTTTTTTTTTTTTTTTTTTTTATAGTGGTGAGATGGCTTTTTATTATGTGTAGTTGTTTTATGCCTCGTGTTACTTGAAACTAAAAATGATTCATGTACAAGAAATAAGATTTATCACCCTTATGATTTCACATAGTTTAAAATTCATCGCTCTTTGATATCATCTTTTTATGTCTAATGTAAATGAGTAAGCTCTATCCATTTATTCATAATCACTTTACCCGATCACTTAACCTATTGCCAACTGCACTTATGTTCCATAAATGTTCCGCACATCTGCATATTACTCTTTGCATAATTGAACTTGTCGAATAGTTTAGAAGAGAAAGCATCATGCTTAACTAAGTCGAAGGAGTAGGGACTAGGAACTCATGTACAAGGTTAACTTTGATACTGCAGTGGGGAATAAGAAATCATGTACTGCAGCAATAGCCAGATTTCATAATGGATCAGCTATAGGAACCAAACTTCAGATCGTAGCAGAAGTAGCCCACTCATAATTGAAGCTCTAGCTTCAAGGCAAGTTGTGGAATGGACTCATAACAAACAATGGCCTTATGTGCTCATAGAAGGAGACTTTCTTATAATTATTCACTCCATCGTGCTCCTTTATGTCAAACCTTACTAGTATGTGCTCTCAATTTCACAAGACAGTAAAGACATACTTTAACATTCTCCGGAATGGAAATTTGTATATACACACAAGGATGCAAATAGTATAGCTCATGAATTAGCAAGATGGGGGCTTGCTATGGTTTATACTAGTTCAGTTCAACCGGACCAACTGCCAAATTCAACAAAAGCTCAAGTGGAATTGGATATACATCTTCCCCCTAGGCTATATTAGGATGCATTTAATTCTGTCTTTAATTCACTTACTCTTGAATATTATTTTTAATTATAAAAAAAAAAAAAAAAACTCGATTTGAAGTTTGAGTCTTGCAAAATAACTAAAATAAGTTTTTGATTTGTGGGTGATTATCATATATCATACATACTTTATACTTGATTAGGTGAACTTCCTAGTTATTTAAATAGTACGGAATTGAACCCAATTTTTTTATTTAGGAGACCCGACCTAACCTAAGTTGAATGCCCTTTTCATCAGGCCCAGATGTACAACTCGGGCAAGTTGAGTTAAGAGGTTGACCTAAACTCAACCCAGTATATGAAGCTTTCAACATAAGACCAACCCAAATAACTTATAATCCAAACTCACATGAACTTTTGAATTGTGGTTGAAATTGAGTTACATACTTTGGATCATAAAAGTCTCTCATCAATCAAAATCAAATTGGATCAATCTTATACTCCAATCCAAATATTATCTGAATTTTTAGACTTGGGTTAACCTTCCCAAGTTACACCCTAGTTAAGCCCCAAAATTCAACAAAATAAAAAAGGCCCAAAAACGACGCCGTAATGTATTAGATTGTAGCAGACCGTTTGGCACTGCCAAGAGCAGCCAACACCTCCCAGAATGATCAGTAGCGCCTCCCATGGCGGACTGGTTCATTATTCTTATCTCTCAAAGTTCATCGTTTCCAAAGGTCATATGACCCTTCAAGTTCCCGTAGAGCCAACCAAAGCAAAAATCAATTAATAATCAGATTTCTGATTTTTTATTACATTAAAATTAAGATAATTTATCACAACAGCTCTTCATATCAATGTCTTCAGGTCTCTCTATCTCTCTCTCTCTCTTTCTCTGTACTGTTCTCAGGCTTTGTCATCTGATCCTAATTCATTTCTTATCTATTATTTTCATAATCTACAGCGCGTAGATTAATGGCGACTATGTCGAACAATTGGTCACTGAAGAACGGACTTTCACTTTGGTGTCCTCAGTCTACTTCTCTGAATCGACTCCCTCGACAGTCCTCAGTCCCTTCCAGAAGCTTCCGAAGAAGCTACACCGTTTTGTCGTCATCTTTTGCCAACGAGAATCGAGAGTAGATCACTTTTTTCAATAAAAATTTCCCCATATAAACTTCTTGTACGGGTTCATTTTGGGTAATTCAGAATTTTGCATTTGGGCATTGCAGATATGTGATAGTTGGTGGAGGAAATGCAGCTGGATACGCGGCTCGGACTTTTGTCGAACATGGAATGGCCAATGGAAAGCTTTGCATTGTGTCCAAAGAGGTGTTTTTTTTTTTTCTGTTCTTGCTATTGATATGCATTTCTTCATTTGATTAATTGATGCTGAAAATGGTGAATTGTATGTATATATCTTATGCATGTACCTATGTTTTGAATGTATATTTATCCTTTGGAGCATGCTTTGCGAATAGGATTCTTAACCATATACCATTTCACAAGGATGTGGCAATGTCACACCTGAAAATGAAAATTAGATCCGCTTTAATGGTCCTTGATGTTCAAATGATTTAGATGGTGATGGCTCGTGTTAGTGTTATATGTGGGATTATAGTTCAAATTCTGTTTGTAGAGGTTGTCTTTTAACTGCACTTTGTCTACTAATGCAGGCATATGCGCCATATGAACGCCCAGCTTTGACAAAAGGTTATTTGTTCCCATCAGATAAAAAGCCAGCACGGTTACCTGTAAGCTCAATTCCTTTGACAGTTTTATTTGAATTATAAAGCATAGCTTTGAATGAACTCGATTTATGCATTTTATTCACTGCCTCTCTCAATCAACATGTTTCCCACTCTTTAGCCATGATTTTGTGCATTTGTGCCTTTGATTTTTTGAATTAGGATGATATGTAATCACATGCTTTCAGATCCTATGAATGGTGATCACCTTGTTTCGGTTCCATCTATCTTTGTTTGTACTGATTTTTCATGCTAGCTTTTGTTATTAATAAATAGTTTAATATTACTTCAGGGATTCCATACTTGTGTCGGCTCAGGTGGGGAGAGACAAACTTCCGAGTGGTATAAGGAGCAAGGGATAGAGGTAATCTTAATTCTTTTTATATTTCTTTTATTGTGCCTTGCTTTCTTTATTTCGGGAGGGATGATCAATTCCCTTAATATCAATTGGAACTTGAAACCTTGGACTCCCCCGTTTGCTAGAACCGGCGAGAACGAGAAACATATTGTCTATACTAAGGGTAATTGATCCTTATCGAGAAATGAAAGCTCAAAGACGAGTTGAACTCTTCTCTTTCAAAGAATTGTTGCATCTTTCCCACTCCCGTTGGTTGTCATATACAAAAAAGTTTGTGAAATTCGTACATATCAGTTGGAATTGACATGACAGTATGCATTTTTGTCTTGATCAATGCTTCAGGGATCATGTTCCTTTTTGGTTTTCTTCTTTTTCCCCTCCCCCAGACACCTTGCAGACACATCTTACTGTCATTTAAATACTATTTATGAAGCCTTTCCAATTCTGTGTAGATGCTGTATGAAGATCCAGTGACAGGTATTGATATTGAAAAGCAAACTTTGACAACAAATTCTGGAAAGCTGCTCAAGTATGGTACACTTATAATTTCTACAGGATGTACAGCCTCAAGGTACAGTTATTTATCTCAATAGTTATGAATAGCTATGCTGTCTTGAGAAATAGTTTTCCGAGCTTCCTGCTCAATTCTTTATTTGAATTGTTTAAATAAGTGACTGGACACCGATCCCTTTGTGCCGTTTACAAACTTCTTATCATTATTATGAACATCGAAGTGTATGTCTATTCTTCGTCAGTTCACATGCTCATAAAAACCACGAATACTTGAATCTCTTCGGTCAGATTTCCAGAGAAAATTGGAGGAAAGTTACTAGGCGTTCACTATATCCGGGATGTTGCAGATGCTGATTCACTTATAGCATCACTGGTTAGTTAGTTTATTTGCTTCAATTAGATTCTGACTACTTGACTTTCATGAAACAAGTGTGTTTGGTTTGAAATTATGCTAAAAGAGTGGAGTTACAGGAAAAAGATATGGTTGTAACATAACAGTCATTTATTTTCTAGGAGAAAGCACGAAAGGTGGTCGTGGTTGGTGGTGGTTATATTGGCATGGAGGTTGCAGCAGCTGCTGTGGGTTGGAAACTTGATACTACTGTAAGTGTTTTAAAGCATTTTTATTTTTTATTCTTCTATGATGACTGTGTACAAGTATATGTTCTTTTCCTTTTGGTTTGGACCACACATATATCTAGTAATACTCCCTCCATTCCTAAACATCTATCGTTTAACTTTTTTGCACAGGGATTAAGGAAGTTATTAAATAGCTCTAATATGAGTAAAAAATAATTGCACAAGACTAAAATACCCTTATTCAATACGTATTGAGAAAGAAAGGAATATGAAAGGCACTTAGCCTCCACCTAATCTAATGCATTGAAAAGTTAAGGGTAAATTTGAAAGAAAAAATATTAATTATGCTTTGGTTTCATTAAATGACAGATATTATGGAACAAAAAAAATTGTGTAAAACAACATATATTTAGGAACGGAGGGAGTAGTTCACAATTCTTTGGACACTTCCTTTGAAATATTTGGTATAAACAAAACATGCGCCTAAAAAATTCATTGGCAATTCCATAATATAATTGTTAAATTGTTTTTTTTTTTTAAATCATTGACTTTATATAGCCTCTGCATGGTTCTCATTGCAATACACATTAGACCTGATGAATTGGTCAACCTGGGTACAAATTTGAGTCTTTGTCGTCACTAATAGCACACTTGTGTAATGAACCTGAGATTGGAATGCTGTATGCTTCAAGTGTTATTGTCCTTGCTCCAAAAAAGTCTTTACCACAGCTACCGCCTATGCAGAATAGGCTTTATGATTTTTATTATTGGGCTGATATTGTACTACTGTCTAGGGAAACATGTTTTCTCAAGTTTAGTGGCAATCACCAAGATGTATGACGGTCATTCTCCAGTTTGGTCCCAGTTAATTGAAGGTGCTATGAGGAGTACGCTGGTTATAGATCTAACAGTTTGTATCATTTATACAAAATAGCTAGTTGCAAATTTGAACCCACAACCTCATGGTTTTTAGCCCAACACTTCTACCTCTGCACTGGGCAGTAGATAGGTTCTATAACACATGTATTAAAGCTTTCCAACATTAATTCAAACAATGGATTATGGTCTCTGTTTACCATGCTCTTATTTTGTGATTCTAACCCTGCTTATTTGATGACCATCGTATTCTAATTCATTAACACAAAATGCTGTTCTGCATTTACTCCCACTCTGATTTTGACCATCAAAATACTCGAACCTAGTTATCAGCAAGACAAGGGCATCATGCCATGTGTTATTGTTGAATGCCTAGTCTTTTAAAGCTGGGTCAGACAAACTTGTACTGTAAATCTCTATTTCATTAAGGGGAGAAAAAAGAAATAAGCATGTCAAGTAAATCTTGAATCCTATTCAGACCTGGTTTTTACTTTTGTCCTAGTCCACTTTGAAAATCCCAAGCAGCCTTAAGCAAAGCATAACAGTATGGTTACTTGCAAGAAAAATACTATGCAAAGCATTGCATCCACCTAGATGATTTTTGTATACGTTCCATACTGAGGTATATTAACTGGGTTTCAAGCTTAGGGTGATCTAATCTAGGACATCCGCAAGTTTGAACTTATATAGTTTGTTTGGAAAAAATAGGTTATATTTCCAGAAGACCATCTTTTGCAAAGGTTGTTTACTCCTTCACTTGCCCGGAAATATGAAGAACTCTACCAAGAGAATGGTGTTAAATTCATGAAGGTCTCTCTCTCTCTCTCTCTCTTCCCCCCCCCCCCCCCCCCCCCCCCACCCTCCCCCCCCC